ATTTTAATTCAAATTTTAATATGTATTAAAATTACACTTAAATAAATTAAGTTAAACTAAAATTGCTTCCTAAAATAAATCTGCCTATATATGTCAATATAAGAGACTATGTCTATAATTATACATATGAAGCAGATTATACATATAAGCAATTGTTATCTTTTCTAAGAAAGAAAATTAATGCAGTCTGTTTATGTTTGAAAAATATACTGCCTAAATATAAACGTGTATATCAATCTTATAAAGTTGTTATGTTTAGCATTAATTAATATTATGCATATGAATATACATATATTAGCAATACTAATTGAACTTCAAATTCAGTATGTATCTGTTTCCCCGATAATTGTGATAAACAAAGTTAATATTAATTTAATAGTGTGATCAACATATTATTTTATTTGTTCCCACCGCCTAATATAGAATTTCCATATTATGCTTAAAATCATATTAATGTCAAATAAGTTGACAGTTGTGTGTGATTAACTGTTACTAATATATATTAATATATATTAATTCGTCAACTCAATTTAGATAACCTGCGACTGTCGCGTTATCAAATATATATATCTATTACTATTACTTTAAAATGGCAAATACATAACAAACATTTTCAATGAGCAATGAAACATGTTATTAATGTTCTAACAAATGTATGGGATGCAGAGTGAAAATCTCTATATCATGAGAAATAATACAACGATATCTAATATCAAAGAATGCTATTCTCTCGTATGAAAAACAGTTTGTAGTAATTGTTATCAATGTTAAATTTCTACGAGCAATTTATACCACTTCAATAATACTAAACATTACTCTAATATTAGTTTATATTCTGCATTATTCAAAAAACTTTTCAAATAAATTACAGAACTGATGCGAGAAAAAATTGTTGGTCTCTCAAATTCTGCATATATGGATAGCAAAAATAGATTCTCTTTACATTACATTCTCTTTACATTAATCAATAACTTCGAAATAAGCTCGCTTTTCATAAAAGTTATTCACGGAAACGATATCAAGTTTCCCAAAGTTCATTTTATTTTCTTCGAAAAAAGAAATCACAATAAAATTGGGATAGAAAGTGTTCCGCAAAAAGATATTCCATTATGTTCGAGTGGAAATAAAAATCTGTGAAAACTTTTTCGTGGCACGACACAAAACTTGTCATTTTTTTCAACGACGCTTTTTCAGTTTCGTTGATTGATCGTTGCGACGCCTGTCATTCTTACCCAACATTTCTCCTACTTTCTATCTCTCACTAACAAAGTCAATCTTTGTCTTAAACTTAACCATTAACATATCATTTTCCAATTTAAAGTAAAACAATTCATAAAAATTTTATAAATAAAAATATAAAAAAATGATATATTTAAAGGAAAATTTAATAAATATAAAATTATTTCTATGTAAACTGATTACATAATTGCTGCTTTTAACAAATGTTAAAATTTAAAATTACATATAAAATTTTAATTTCTCCTTTTTCTGCAAATTTTAAAAGTGATATATAAAGTTACATATTCCATATGTTATATCTCAAATAATAAAAATACTATAAATACTATAGTATGATATTTTAGACGTGCGTCGTAAAATTCGTAAATATCATAGCACGTATGTCATAGAACGTTAAAAATTTAAATGAATGCATATTAAAATATATATCTCAAATAAAATGATAGGATTTTTTTTCGATAATCCAATCTATTTAAAAGCAGAATAAAAAATATCAGTTGCGAGCAAATGTAGCGTTACGTAACATTGCAGAAGGAACAATATGACGAGCGGATTTGTTTCATGTACGTATAGAGATTTTCCAACGCGATCCCGTAACTGATGCAAACCCACGCAGCTTTTCCAGTATTAACAATCGTCACATTGGCAGTTTATCTGGTGAATTTTCTTTCTCTCTTTCTTTCTCCCCTCCAATCTCTCTCTTTCGCTCGCGTAAATGCGGATATTTACAAAAATACATACGCGAAAATTTTTTGTTCGAGAAACGGGAGAAACCTGTACGAGTAGCGCGTACCTTTATACACCATCTTTCAAATTAGCATTTCAATTTGCCGCGTAGGTGTCCCGCGTGCTGCAGCCGCGAGTCAAACGAGAACAATCGAGCTGAGCCGAAGCCGGAGAGTCGAGTCGTCATCCGCCACCTGACATTTTCGATGCAAAGCCACCGACGGTGAAGCGGGGAAAACGTGACATTTACATACATATATTGTATATGTATATATACATATATACCCGGCCCGAGAGCGTGGCGTTTGTCGTGTCATATATCTGAGAGAGAGAAGTTCACGGTCCAATAATCTTCCATCGCTACTTTTCGGCTGAATTGTATCTGGTGAATCTCGTCGAAAGTTTGAATTAAATTTGATGATAGGTCTCGAAGTTTACATCGCCAGAAAATCACTAGCTTCAAGAGTTCAAAATGCGAACAAAATAGTTGAGTATTAAGAAAATAATTTCTATAATAATTTCTACTAATACAGAAAATAATGTTATGTTTTATTTATTATATGTTAAATAAATTTTATTATTGATTCCATAATAATTCTAATAATAAATAATATATAAAATTAATTTTATTGTATTGCTCTTTCTTTCTTATATTTTTTTTAAGTAAATACTTTGCATTATTTATCAGTTAAATAATAGACAAATAAGTATTAAAGTATCAAACGAGAGTATTGATTTAAATTTGATAAGTATTTTAAAATCACATAATATCGCTCGATTCTCGTTAATTCCTGTTAACATCTACAATTTTTCTTACTGCTGAATTCAGTTTTCGATGTGCATATCTATACAAAAAAACGTAACATTATTTATATTTTTATTTTCACTTATACACAAAGATGTTTAGTGTTTGGAATCTAAACTTGCAAGATTTACAGTAATTTGAATCCGTTTAATCTGGATTAAATTTCATCGACGTTCAATAACAGTCTTGAGATTGAAACAGCTGTTCGCTTTATCAGTATTGTTTATCAGTAACACTGTCGTAAATTAAAATCAATTTTGTACATACGTACATAGTTACAACGCGACACTTTTTCGTTATATTTCGTTTAGTATTTTTTTATAATCATATTGTTTATTTGTCAGCCACGTATAAAGAAAGTATTTAATTTTTTTAAATATTGATAGTCCTAATTTATGTCTAATGAAATCTAGTTGACCTCAAATATTATAATTTTGTTGATGAATTAGATCCCTCCATGAATAACGACGTCAATTACTCCGAAAACAAATAAATAATTTCTTGAAATTCAAATAAATTGAGAATTTTGAAACATTGACGTCATATTCAGCAATAATAAAATTCGAATAATATATAAGTCAATTTGAATATTAAAAATGTTTTTTTTCCATATAATTAGTGAAATAATTAATGTAAAATATGCTATCTTCATATAACATCTAATTTTCTATGTAACATATTATATTATGTAATCCACGTGATATATGCAAGTTATTAAATTATCCAATTTATTCTCTAGAAATTTTCCATTTGATTCATGAATATACGAATGGGGAAAGCTATAATCCCTGTACTCATAAATATAAATGTACATGTATTATAATATTATTTTATAAATATAAATGTGCATGTATTATAATATTATTTTCCTCATCAATTTCTACTTGTATTTTAATTACACACCTGTTTCTCTCTATTTCACACAACTATCCAATAAAATATATCACACTTTTCCCGCAAGAACTAGAAAATGATTATTGTTGGCATCTTTACAGCATTAAATTATCCTATATTCTTAATTGCCACCGATATTTACCTCATAAATGATCGACGTTTATATCTCTCCACGACGTCGTCGTGTATAAAAGAGGAATGAGCGAAATGATCGACAGTGAAATATATGACGAAATAAATGTCTGGGATATAAAAGTGATCGAAAGCAACCGACGATGTTTCGATCGTTTTAAATGCTCGACTTCAATTAACTGCGCAATGAGAAAGAGAGAGAGAGAAAGAGAACATACGTAAGTTCCAAGTTCTATATACATACGGTAAGAAAAAGTAAATGCGCCCCATAGGCGTCGCGAATCTTTGGCGAGTGTTATGCTATAGCTATATAGCAGTACGCAATTACTTTGATTGGCGGCCAATTACTGCGACGTGACTAGTTTACTTTTAACGAAAATAAATAATTATCGAAATAAAGCTCTCGAAGCGCCATTCGTTATTATATTTTCCCTATCGTATACGTTTATGCATACATATACATAAGATTGGCAGGCGTGCAACATTGATAAATCATCTTGAATTTGTTAATTATTAGTGCCGTCTTTTCTAGTTAAACCTCAAGTCATGTGTGATAAGCATCGAAAGCGAATTTCAAAGTTGAGAGGATAACACGAGAAAGGCGTCGCTAATCCCATGATAAATTATTCAAGATTGTTAGCGAGAAAATGTATTTAAATAATCCTTTGACAGATTGAACAAAACTGTTAATAAGTGCTTCGTTCATATATAAAATGTATAGAAAATCGTATGAAATTTAAATATCTATTCTTCTTAAATCAGACTAAACGAGAACTTATTTTAGTATCTGTTTATAAATACATATCTTATATTTTTCTCCGCATATGTATATATATATATATATATATATTTATTTTGAATAAGGGTGACTGTATATCTTTTTAAGACTCTCTGATATCATCTTAAAATATCACAATTTAAAATTAAAAAAATGTTAACAAACGAGAAAAAATCTATTATCCGAGATAGCGGATTATTTAAATGAAAAATCGTTTAATCGCCGAATTCTCTCGACATTTTAATCTCGGCACGTGCGACCGATTATGGCGGAACAACGGGTCTTCATTATACGAATAGAGCTGGTACGTAACTGTTATCATTAAGCACACATACACAGTGCGAATACGGAAGCGGGATGAAACCGCAAACTGTTCCTAGCGTAGTTCCTAGCATATATAGAGGAAAGAAGAAGAGAGAGACTCACCTTAAAGCTCGCTGTGTGGTCTTCATCTTCGATGAGCTCCTTATCTTCTCGCTCCGAATGGTGATATTCCTTCCTCCTCTTATCTCTCTCTCTCTCTCTCTCTCTCTCTCTTTCTCTGTCTTCTCAGCTGCTATCCCACGAAAATTCGCACTTGCGAGAGGTTTGTTGCGGTATATCGCGATGTACGTTCGAAACGAAACAGTTACACAGTTCTTACTTCACTCGCGTAAACGCACTTCAAATCACACGCGAAAATGACGGAATTAATTTCATTCATCGAAACCGCGAAACACTACGCATAAAAAAGTTACACTCGCGACGCGTCACTATATGTCATCACTTTTTTCCACGATAAAGATTATCCTTTCCCTCTCGGAGCTGTCGCAACAGAATCCAAGGATTCAATTGGGCGATTTCGCGCTTCGACGCTTAGAAAAATGTCCCTGGGTCATCCTTCTCCGAGGTTCTCTCTCTGAAACACAAATGCGAGACACAGCTGGCGGATGATCGACGTCTTCGCAAAGGAACGCCGCGAATTAGATCAGTGGGACTCGCGAGCGACCGAGAAAACTTGGGTCGCGAGCGGCGAAAGGCCTCGTGTACGCGAGCTGTCTCTCCTCTATCCTTCTCCACCTTTCCTCGTTTCTCGACGTCTTTTACCTTATCTCCCTTATGCAAACCTCCCAGATTTTACATATTCGTGAAAGCACAGTAGTCGTCTTATCGCGTTATTTGACATTTCTCGAGTGTTTTCGCAGATGCCCGTCTTCTCTAACCTCACTTTCCTTCTTACCTTTCTAACCGACCTCGTCGCCGAGATTCGCGCGAATCGGCACCCGCGTATTTGTTTGATAAACACGATGCGCGCGCGACGAGGAAAGTCGACGCGAGCATCGCTAACCTATCGCGTTACTCCGAATTTCGAGAGAAAACCGTCGAGCACTCGCTTTTCCGAATTCGCCGGCGACATGATGATATACACACATAAACGCGCGCGCGCGATAGGTATATATCGTCGATATTTATCGCGGATTTTCGATCGATATTTGATCGAATTTTTAGAATCGATATAATTGACGCGGGCAACAATCGAGACCGCGAACGTCGCGAAGTTGGCGCTGACAGGTCGCGCACCTGTCACCAATTCCCGCGAATTTCCGGGCATAAATTCTAATATGGCGGGTGTAAATACATAACGATACAATGTTCAAATATACAATTATTGTATTATTCTCTTCCAGATTATTTCTATCACCTGACAGGTCGCGCACCTGTCACCAATTCCCGCGAATTTCCGGGCATAAATTCTAATATGGCGGGTGTAAATACATAACGATACAATGTTCAAATATACGATTATTGTATTATTCTCTCCCAGATTATTTCTATCACCTGTTCGCGATGGCGGATATCCTTCGCTTCCTCCTTCGCTTTTCGAGCGCCGAAAAAGATGCTCGAACAGGTGCGGAAGGCACCTCGGTTCGAGTAGAGAGGCGACCGCAAGCCTCTACTCCGGAGTCCGGCGCGAGTATATACGTCCGCGAGGACTGGTTTCGACGACGCTCTCCCCCGACCGGCCAGACTACTTCGGGAGGCGATAGCACGGGACGGCGAGCGCCCGGAGCGGCTGACGCGCGAGCAAGACGGAGAGCGACTGGCGCGAAGAAAGAGAAGAGAGAGAGATGGCGGCGGTCGCGCGCGCGCGCGCACGCGCGCGGTGGGTCCCGTTCCACGGAAAGAGGCTTATTCCACCGAGCGCGAGGAAGTACTGTTACTTAGATGGGGCCCGGAGGGAAGGAGGGAGGACCGGGACGACGCGACCCGCGCTGCATGTAATTTCGTGAGACAAGTAGCGACTTTTCTCTCGGACGAAAAGGGCCACTCGCGCGAGAGAGTGCAACACCTGTGCATACATATACAGAATCTTTGTACCTGTTTCACGAAGGCAGGTAGCGTCCGCGATGACGTTTCTCTATATCTTTCCCTCTTGTTTTTCTTTCTTTTTTCGAAAGACGCGAATTACCGATTGTGAGGATCGTAGTACGGACTTGTAATAATTTTTCGGAGCATCGATATATCGCGCGACTAGAGAAACACAAGGGACGGTTACAAAAGGAGGGGAGAAGGTAATGCGGCGCCACTGCGTCGTCTGTAAACAAACTTGGTCTCGCACGCGGGCGAATGTTTTGAGTATTCGGGAATGTTTACCTTGCGTGCTCCAAGCTCGTATCGTGTCGTGCGTATACATATACGCGTACGCACTCCAAACGTAACGGCACGATTCGCTCCACCTGTTTTAATCCCGCACCGTACACGTGCGGGTGAACGTGGACGCTCTCGACCGGTGATGCTTCCCTCTCTTTCTGCCCACGGCGTGTTCTCGTTCCTCGCCCCGTCGGCTCACCCACAGTCGTGCCTTGTCCACACACAAATCTTGGGCCTTCTTCTTCTTCTCTCTCACTCACTGACTTTAGCGCGGAGCGCGCGATACGATACGAAGCGTATTCACCGCTCGGCGGTCGCGGCTCGACTGAACGACCGACCACCTCCGCGTCGTTCCTCGTCGCGTCTCACTCTCGTAGCACGTAAGCCGGCGCCCCCTGTAAAGCAAGCAATTTGGAATGTAATTTATTGAATTTAAAGAAATATTTATTTCAATACTGCCTAATATGAATCATTTATTTCAAATTAATAATATTTATTTCATGTGAAAAATATTTATTTGTTTCAAATTTAAAACGTAAGACGTACAAAATTAACCAATTACATACTGAAACAAATTTATTGAATTTAAAGAAATATTTATTTCAATACTGCCTAATATGAATCATTTATTTCAAATTAATAATATTCATTTAATGTGAAAAATATTTATTTGTTTCAAATTTAAAACGTAAGACGTACAAAATTAACCAATCACATACTGAAACAAATTTATTGAATTTAAAGAAATATTTATGTCAATACTGCTTAATATGAATCATTTATTTCAAATTAATAATATTCATTTAATGTGAAAAATATTTATTTATTTCAAATTTAAAACGTAAGACGTACAAAATTAACCAATCACATACTGAAACAAATTTATTGAATTTAAAGAAATATTTATGTCAATACTGCCTAATATGAATCATTCATTTCAAACTAATAATATTTATTTGATGTGAAAAATATTTATTTGTTTCAAATTTAAAACGTAAGACGTACAAAATTAACCAATCACATACTGAAACAAATTTATTGAATTTAAAGAAATATTTATGTCAATACTGCCTAATATGAATCATTCATTTCAAACTAATAATATTTATTTGATGTGAAAAATATTTATTTGTTTCAAATTTAAAACGTAAGACGTACAAAATTAACCAATCACATACTGAAACAAATTTATTGAATTTAAAGAAATATTTATTTCAATACTGCCTAATATGAATCATTCATTTCAAACTAATAATATTCATTTAATGTGAAAAATATTTATTTGTTTCAAATTTAAAACGTAAGACGTACAAAATTAACCAATCACATACTGAAACAAATTTATTGAATTTAAAGAAATATTTATGTCAATACTGCTTAATATGAATCATTTATTTCAAATTAATAATATTCATTTAATGTGAAAAATATTTATTTATTTCAAATTTAAAACGTAAGACGTACAAAATTAACCAATCACATACTGAAACAAATTTATTGAATTTAAAGAAATATTTATGTCAATACTGCCTAATATGAATCATTCATTTCAAACTAATAATATTTATTTGATGTGAAAAATATTTATTTGTTTCAAATTTAAAACGTAAGACGTACAAAATTAACCAATCACATACTGAAACAAATTTATTGAATTTAAAGAAATATTTATGTCAATACTGCCTAATATGAATCATTCATTTCAAACTAATAATATTTATTTGATGTGAAAAATATTTATTTGTTTCAAATTTAAAACGTAAGACGTACAAAATTAACCAATCACATACTGAAACAAATTTATTGAATTTAAAGAAATATTTATTTCAATACTGCCTAATATGAATCATTCATTTCAAACTAATAATATTTATTTGATGTGAAAAATATTTATTTGTTTCAAATTTAAAATGTAAGACGTACAAAATTAACCAATCACATACTGAAACAAATTTATTGAATTTAAAGAAATATTTATTTCAATACTGCCTAATATGAATCATTTATTTCAAATTAATAATATTCATTTTATGTGAAAAATATTTATTTGTTTCAAATTTAAAACAAGACGTACAAATTAACCAATCACATACTGAAACAAATTTATTGAATTTAAAGAAATATTTATTTCAATACTGCCTAATATGAATCATTTATTTCAAATTAATAATATTCATTTCAAGTGAAAAATATTTATTTGTTTCAAATTTAAAACGTAAGACGTACAAAATTAACCAATCACATACTGAAACAAATTTATTGAATTTAAAGAAATATTTATGTCAATACTGCCTAATATGAATCATTTATTTCAAACTAATAATATATCCATTTGATGTAAAAAATATTTATTTGTTTCAAATTTAAAACGTAAGACGTAAACAATTAATCAATCACATGCTGACAAAAATTTATTAAATTTAAATGAATAGTTATTTCAATACTGCCTAATATAAATAATTTCTTTAAAACTAATGATATTTATTTGATGTGAAAAATATTTGATATATAAGAAAGTCCTTTTCAAAACAGATACATATTTATCGGTTTCAAATAAATGATTTATTAGGCTCTGTATTGAAATAAATATTTATTAATTTAATAATTTTTTCGGTGCAATTAAATTTGAGAAAAATAATTGAATGTAATTGGCTAATTTCTTACGTCTTGAATTCTTATTGTAAATTGTAGACGCCGCTTAACTCACGAACCTCATGTACATGAGACAAATTTACTGTCTCGATTCAGATTCCGGGGAAACATTAAAAACTGTATTAAACATCACAGAATTGAAATTGTTCTTATAATGATTTCGATATTATACACTAAATGAATAGTGAATAAAACTACATTTCTGAGAATTGAACGTGATTTTTTTCGGAGCGATTTAAAAAGTCTCAAAATAAACGACGTTGTTTTGATATATGTTTTGAAAGAATGTATATGATTCGTTTCTAAAACATCTCTGGAATCAGAAAGAATATACGATTCGTTTTTTAAAATATCTCTAAAATCAATATTTATTATTATTTCTACCTAGTATATAAACGCCAGATATTGAAACAATTTTATTTTGTTTAAGCAAAATCTTCTGTTATAGCTTTTCTTTAATTAATACATCATATATATTCTTTACATAAGTATACACAGAGAGAATTTTCTTTTAGAATTTACCTTGAAAATCATGGTAATCATAGGACAATATGGTATTAATCAAAGAAACTCTTATAAAATTCTTCCAATACCATTACTGTTCCATAATTTTCAGAATGAATTCTAAGATAAAATCCTTTCATGTATTACTTGAATAAAGTTGTAACACAAGACTTTTTTCGATACAAGAAATAAGAATTTTTAAACACTACGTTTCTGAATAATAAATACTGATTCTAAAGATGTTTCAAAAAAGAAATCGTATATTCTTCCACACAGTGTATCAAAACAACGTCGTTTATAAACATATGTAAATATGAAAACAGATAAACTGCGCTTGTTCTTTGAAACGACTCTCGTTTAGGTTGACTCTTGCAATTTTAGAACGTCGATCCGCTGATCTTTATTAGGTACAGCAAAGCGAGAGAGGTGCACGCGTGTGTATACATACCTGCGCGTGTTCTCGCGTAAACAGTAAAGTAGGCTGTGCGCGAGAGCGTGAGGTGAGCGGGTGTAACCGGTTCCATGGCGATTTTTTCACGAAAAGTACTCGCGAAGCTTTATAAAATTGCACGTACCCTTTGTCGTCGTCGTTGGACATCGCTATATGCGTGTGCATTCGAACGCTTAATCCGAACGAGCTGTTTCGACGTTTGCGAGGCTCCGAAGGATGCGGGAAAGATGGCTTCATCCACATCATTTTTGCAATATTGGATCCCTCAGAAGACCGCAGCATTTTCTTCTCAGATTTCGAAATTGGGAAATAATATATAGTCTGCAAAGAGAAATAATATTTTAATATTTGTACATATATTTTGTTAAATAATTTGACATATATACGATATTGAAGAAACTATGAGAGATAAATTCTCAAGGAAATTTCATAATAGAATTATAAGAGTTTGGTGCACATTATTTAGATAAAATATGTTGATGACACAAAAAGCTCGCAGTAGCTTCTAATTGAAACTTGTAATTTTTTAATACAATAATGGAACAAATATGAATAAATTATAGCATTGTCATAATTAAAAAGATAGCAAAAGTTTCCACGTTAGTAATATTATGTTTTCTTGTAATTCATGTTTGTAACATGAGAGTAAATATATATCGTATCTAATAATCATGCAGTTTTGCTGATAAATATTTTATATCTTGTAACATAATTAGCTAAAATTAAGTGTGCAATATTAAATATATAATTAATTATCGATCAGTATTTATCTAATTATATAAAAAGTTATTTGATCAGAAAATTATTAAGCATTTTATAAGAAATTTATGTAAATGAATAAAAGATTAAATTGTAAATAAAAATTATTGTTCATAAAACAATAATTATTCATCAATTAATAATCAAACTAAAGTATTTAGAATCAAATCTATTGAATGACATCAATAAAAGTCGTGACTGAATTACTAAATCATATTATGCAATAAGATATTTAATTATATAATTCATTATAGTTTCTATTTAAAAAATCGATAAAACAATTAACTTTTTTACCGAATACTATTAATACCGATGACTATTGGTAACATCACACAACTATTCTCGGTTGGATAAACATTAGATTTCGAATTTTGTTAGCTATTTCGATGAAAGGTTTATACGCTCCATGAAACTTCGAACCAATAACGGAGATCCAGTGGCAATAATTGACAGCGAATTTTGTCATCGTGAATATATCCTATTTCGTTGTTTTCTGAAAACAATTAAGTGATACATCAGTTATTATTTTATAACTTTATAGGATTATAGAACGTGCATTATAGAATCAAATTTTATAACATGCAGTATAATGCAACGTATTTAATAACATTTATATTTATTTAATAAAATTTTCAATATGATGCATCATTAATTAGTATTGCAGAATATATATATATCTGCGTCAAAAGATAATTTATTTCGATTTTAAATTGAAAGAAGATTAATTATAAAATAAAATAAATTAATTAAATTAAGAATAAAATAAATTAATTTAATTAAGAATAAAATCATTACAATATACTACGTCTTAAAATTAGACAAAGAGATAGTAAAAAATTTTAGACGAAAAAATTACTTATTTCGGACAATTATAATTTCACTAAATAGATTTTCACTAATGGACCTAAATTTTTATCCAATTTTTAAAATGTTATTTATCCTTCATAGAATTATCTATTCTTGACAAAATATGATTACCTTGTCAAAAGAATATGCCCAGTGTCTCGTGATTTTAAACTCGTTTCTATTTTTATTGGTGCGTTGTTTGTCGCTTTATTGAACGAAGAATGAACGAATATTCAAGGGCGGCGTGCGATCTTTTGATGTTGCATTCAATAAATTGGGTCGTTAGAGATTTCGGCCGAGGACTGTATAACGCAAATATAATCCGGTGAATAATCCTCGTAATTCGACACGACGAAGTGTCTGCGCTCGCATGCAGCTTCTGAAAAATGAAATGAAAGTTTTTATAATGTTTATATGCGCATTCGCTACTTTTTCTCGCTGGTCGCAAAATATCCTTGAAAAATATGGGTCTTCGAAAACATCCCGGTCGACAAGGTTCTTCTTTGTCAAAAATAGAAACGTGAAATGTTAAGCAAAATACGGCCTTCACGTGGAATGTATTATCAACTTTTGAGAAACATTTATTATTCAGAACGTAGCTTTGCATACATACCTGCGAAGACCTACATGTTACGCCGATTATTATGTATGTGATTTTGTAACAGGTTGTTTAACATAATAACGAGTTCCGGAAAGTCTTTTATCTTATCAGTTGTACGTGATAACTCGGAACAATAAATCAAATATTATAATATAATATACTGATCGTTAAATTGCAGAATTGAATTGTTAATAATACCTAAAATCTATATAAGAATATTATATTTGATGCGCGACATTACCTGACCCCAGTAGCTCCTTTTCGCTAGTGCAGAAACTTTGCACTTACGGTGCAGAGTGCAGGTTAGACAGAGTCAATCTAGGTTTGTTCCTAGTTTGATCGACCCGGGATCGATCAATAACGTGCCATCGTGATTGGTCAATGACGTCATCGATCGATCTATGGCCGGATTTGGTAATAACTACAATTAATTAGTTAATTAGTTAAAGTTAAAAGTTAATAATTTAACTTAATTAACTTACAATGTATTAATTTTTGACATTAAAGTTATTAATTTTTTCCTAAGTTAAATTGTTTTTAATTTATCTGAATACCATAATTGTTTTTCTATAAGTTATAAACGTATATTATTTTTCGTTTAAAGTATTATTAATTTTTATGTCCATTTGTCATCAATTGTAATTACCAAAAAATATATTTCTATATAAGAATCAAAATTCCTTCGTTATTATAAATTTTAAAAGAATTAACAAACAAAATTCTAATTTAATATAAATAATGTTTTAAAAATTAACTTTTGATTTCACTTCAGTTAATTTAATCTTAACTTAACTTTTAAGTTGCATTTCCATGCAACTTAACTAAATTAATTTTATAAGTAACCAACTTTAACTTAACTTATTAAAAAATAATTATGGCTATAATTCACGGTAAAATATATATGTCACTTTGCAAGAAAAAAACAGTTGGCATCCCTTGTGACGCGAATCGAGTGAATTAAGCAATATATCGGGCATCGACGTGAAACTGTCGAACGGTCCAAATTGATGGAAGGCAGTCAAGTATCGCGTTGCAAATAACGAACATCGTACATCGAGTGCGCGACAAGTGATTTTTCCTACGCGCGAGATTTATTCGACCAACATGAATCGGGAATGTCGCGCGAAGTGTCAAACGGTTATGGTGTCGCATATTAATTCGCTTCGCGACTGAATGAACGTGGAAACAATAAAGCGAGGGTGGGATGACAAAGCGGAAAGCCGGTGAATGAACGAAGCCGGATCGCAGTAATTAATCTCTTTTTTTTCCTGCGATTTTCGTGAAAATAGCTGCGTTTTTTCGATCGTGACGCGCGAGTGTTCGATACGCGCGAATATATGCGGAACAGTGAGCGTTCGAATCATCGGGAGGAAGAATCAACTGTGCTGCAACGGCTGTCGAGGATCAGAAAAGGACAGCTCCATCAAGCTCCATCTTTCTCGCTCCAACACTTCGCTTTTACATGCAAATCGGGTAAGTCTATACATCAGCTATATATGAACGCTAGCGCCCTCTTGGTAAATAACAGGTAAATTAAAAAGGAGTTAAAGTAAGTATTGATGATAATGGAAGGAAATGTAGTTTTATCAAAAGCAAAACGCATACTTGTTTTATCGACGATCGGTCATATCGAAATTCTTCATTTGCCTGACAACCTGTGGAGACAATTTGAAAATTGACAACTTTATTATTTTTTTTGTGTTGCTTTTGCACTTGTATAAAATTTTCTATAATAATTTAATATAAATTTTCTATAATAAAATTTTGCATTTCTTGGTTTGATTAATCGATTAATGCATCTTATCTTTTGTCTGATTTGGGATATTATTGCCTGAATTCAATTTGATTAATTTTATTGAAACATCTGCGAGAAACTAGTTTATTACACATAATTAACAGGTAACAATAATTAACAGCTTTGCTTAACTCTATTCTATTGTAACTTAGCTTTAATATATTTCGATGATTATATGCATATAAAATTTCTTCTAACAAATGCTGAAAGTACAGATATATAAAGTAAATATTTGAAAGCATGTGCTATACGATAATAAAAGTGTGCGCACATGATTCTCAAGAATGAGAAACGAGTAATCTTTATAAAAATGACTTGTTTTAGTTTATTAAAAAATTTTAATATGGTAATTAAAATTACCATTAAAATTTTATAATTGAAAGAAATATATTGAATTTAAACCTTTTTAAATTTTGAAAAATACAGAAAAATATATAATTATATTATATAAAAAATCAAGATATCATTCTTAAGGCCAATATTATCTTCCAAGATAAGATTCTTCGTATTTGAGACGTGTTATTATTGCATATTCAAACATGCATTAAATTTTGCGCGGCGGCAATTATTTGGGATCTTTGCAATTCGATTTTCTGTTCTTTCAACTTGAGAAGCTGCTTCTTCAACTCCAATTCTTTTTGTCTCACAGCCATTTTCTCCCTGTGTCGCCTCTCTTTGTTTTTCTCACCCACGACGAAATGCTTTGCCATTTCTTCGGTGAATTTGTCAAACAATGTTGTCAAAATTTGTTCAAAATTCGACGTCTCGTTTTTTTCACTCGTCGTAGCTTTCGCCAAACAGTCTTCGTGTTGTTGATTGACGGACAAGTTGCCCTGATCACAGGTACGTTTCGATGCAACCGAAGGACATTTCCTTGAGCTGCTCGGCGGATCCTCCTCATTCCTTTCCAGATATACGTATTTCCTCTTCTCGTCGAAAATCTCGTCCAAGGCGCGTTTGTGCTCCCACTGTCCATAATGCCTCATTCTACCGGGTTTTCTTAATCGCTCGCGAAACACGAGGTTTTTATACTTGCGTTCCAGGACTCGCCATTTGTTCTCGCACTTCTGCGCGCTGAAGTGATAGCCGAATCTGTGCATCTCCATGGATATCATCTCGAACATCCCTCGCAGACTCTTTATTTGCGTCGATTGGCCGACCTGCGAACGATACTTTTTGTACTGATTGATCAGGCATGTGGTGGCTCTGCTGGTCCATAGATTCTGCGCTACGTCGGCATTTGACGATATTAGATTGACACTCTCGAAATCTAGAAGGCTATTCTGTTCTTCCTGGATGTAACATTGAGAAGCTTCATCTTGTTGAGGTTCTATCTTGATTTCTATTTCCTCGTTTTCTGCAAAAAAAATAATATTTGAGAATATATTCACAATCGCATAAATATAAAAATATTTGTGTATGCAAATTTAGGAACATATTAATATTTGAAGATTCGTCATATTAATTAATTGTCGATACGTTTTCAGTATCTATAATAATTATGACGTGTGCATATCTAGATATACAAAAATAGTATTTGATTAAAAAATAAAATTAAAACCGGAAGCAAAAACATTTCCAACACTTTCCCTACGTTATATTTTAATAACCAAAGTTTTTTGTTCCGTTTATCATCGACAAATCACTACGCGCGCAACAATCGTGAATGCGATCCAATTTGAATTTTCCCGCGTTTCGGTAGTCAAAGATAACTCGTCTATACTCGCGTGACATCTTCGAAAATGCAGGTCGACGAAAGCGACAAAAGCATGTTTACGGATCGTTTGAAAAGCTGAAACGCAATGGTATCAAAGTGTGAAATGAAAAACAATTTCCATACCTTCGTGCCTCTCATTCTCGGCCATAGTAGACGTTCGCGTATCTCGTCGACGATGTTGCGATCGCACCCAGCAATTCGATAAGAACGTTGTTGTCGCCGACAGCGTCCGGGACTCTCATGTGGGTCCGAAAAACCTAAGGAAACTAGTTCCAAACCGGCCTCGATGTAGAACTGGTTCTGTACGCGTCACGAACGGCCATGTTTGCCCCCTCTTCCTTCCCCTCGTTCTTCGTCACGTCCTGTTCCTCGAGGAGAGACCATCTGCGCGATGTGGCGCGAAATCGGTCGATCGTCTTGCACGAGTTTCGAACGCATTCTGAACCGCAAGCGGGAAACCCGGCGATGCGCTTCCTCGATTTCAAACTTCGGTTCCGATTTGTTTCGCACAGATTATACCTATTGCGCAGACAGATATGAATTTGCGCAAAACTGTTTCACTTGGTATGGAAACCTGTTATCGAGCTAACTAGTTTTTAAGGGGAATGTTCGGGCGGAGATACTTTCTAATAGAAGTCGAAACATCGAGTAACGCAGCTCTCTGTATAAATGCATAACTTTTTGAATTTTTCTAAGTTATATGTATATCTAATGGAAAGATTATCGGATAAGAGAACGTGATTATATTTATCCCTAAATGTTCAATTAGGATCTTAATTTTGTACTTATTGAGATAAATTTATTTCTTATCGGTAGAAAGTGAGATTAGCGCGATATAATTTTATAATTATCGCGCACGCGAATCGAGAACGATATATATAATTTTCGTGAACTAATGAATATCTTTTTTCTTTTCAATTTATATAATTACTAATTTAAATCTTACCTTTCATCAAGTTATTAGCGTTAACATAGTAATTTTCAAACATTACGCATTTATGTTATATTAGATAAAAACCTTGATATATAAACAAAATTACATACTTGGTCTATTATCGCTTTATATAAAATGATTACTTTTTAAAAATAGACAGTGTGATCTGGAGTAAATTAATCCATTAAAAATGTCAATTTATTACTGTTTTTTTTTTTATACATAATTCTTAAATTGTGCCTTACGTGTTTATTACAGAATACTTGCGTAAACTATATTGTAATTTTCTTATAGATTGTATAATCTAAATATTAATTTTACACGATATACATATCTTCCGTTACTTGAAACTCCTCGTCACTTCTAACATTTTAAACTAATTTACGTTCTGAAAGTCTAACATAAGTAATTCCTCGCTTATGCACTTTTGATTATGTAATGCTTTCATGAAACTCGTGACGCAATCCAATAAGAGTCATTACTTACGCTAACCAGCAACTTGATGGACGAAGATTCTTGAAGGATTCTTTTTAATGAAAATATAACTAATTGAAGTAGAAAAATCGTATCATTATCTTTATATTTCTAGTACGTGAAATCAATCTTGTATCGATACTTTCATTCCGGTTGAGTCAAAGCATTCGCCCGGAATGCGCGTTAACGAGTTTCTTATACGGGCAATGAAGTGATTTTGCCTCAACATGTTCGGAAAACGAATAGTTGCGGTATAAACAATTTACGTGACGTATGGATGCGTAAGAACGCGACGTACCGTTCGCGGTTTACGACAACTTTTGTATCTCGTCAAGAAGGAATAAAGTTAGCGGGATTCCCGCATCGATGCAGTCAGAATAAAGAAAATAAATATCTAAGCATTTCTTAACAATATAATCGTATGGATTAACTTGAATCAATAATAATATTTGGAGAATCTATTTTATTATTATATTATTTCTCGATAAAAAGAATTTCATTTTTAACAGTTAAAACTTTCGATCATGCACATCAGAAAATATTTATAATATTTTTTATTAACTTGACAATTTACATTTTTCTATCTCTTTTATTTAAAAGAAAAGTTGTTACAACGTTGACATTTTATGTGTGTAATTAATTTATAATAAATTGACTTTTCTATTTTTTATATAATTTATGTAAAACTTCTTGACGTCTAGATCTTGAAACGTGAGTACTATCTTATGATTTTTATAATATTTAAATATATAAAATAAATATAAAAGATACGTATTCTTTAGATGCTTAAAAGACAAGTAATTCTTCAGATGTATGTGGTAAGATTTATTGATATCAGATATAAATACCTATAATAATTATTTTCGTAATAAAATGCAACTTTTTTATGATACATCTTGTAAACATTTGTGAAATACTTTTCTGGCGCAACAAAATTGAATCAAAATGCGCAACATCATTTAATAACAAAACGCCTAATCGTATTTTTATTCGCGTAATAACAGCAACCGTTGTATTTTCCTACGCGATTGCAACGAGATTAAGAATAAGGATTACGCGAAAGTTAGTGTAATATGAAAACGATTGAATCACGCAAGAGTAAGTAATCGCGGGCGATGTAACGATCAGCTGTACATAATCACACCAAGACAAACCTTTCACTGCGTTTATTAATAATTATGTACTCTTTTAACATACCTCGGACAATTGCCGAACTGTATACGGAACTTTTTGTATGTATAGTATGTAGCATTAAGGAAGAAAATAATGTGGCATTAAAGTTGATACAAACAAGATGGAGCAAATAATGTAATTTTCATAAAAGCTAAAGTACTTATTAAAATAATAACTTATATATTTGTATGCAATTTATAGTTGAATAACAAATCATTATTATTTATTAGAATTCTCTGTTTAAATTTGCAGGCTTTTAGAATTTTTTTATTTTATTACCTAAATATTTGATAAAAATTTAGAATAAATTAAATTTTTCTAGAAAAAAATTTCGAATACAAAATCGAATACAATATCTTTACGTGAAAGTTTTTAGAATAAATTAAATCACTATTTTTCCCTAAAAGCATTTGCTTTAACTTTAAAGCGTATACTTTTTATATTATATAAATTCAAACTTTTTCGAATTTAATATAATTTTAATTACTTTTATCCGATAAAAATGGCATTCGATATAGTAATTTGACTCAATTATATAGCTTAACCAAGTATAACTCTCTGACATTACGTTGCGATTATGGAAAGGTATCAATCTTGACATACAAAAATTATGCATCAATTTACTTTCCCTTTGAATATCGAATACCTTTTAAACTTTAGATAAGAATCAAACATATTTCGATCATTTTAATTCTTATACACCAAAATAAACGCAGAAACTGCATAAGAGAAATAGAATTTTTAAAACAGAATATTTTGCAATCTTTATCAATATTGAATTTCATTATTATTTTAATACATTGGATTATAAAAATGTGCATCTTTTGATGTGCATACTTATTTTTGACAGGTTGCACAAACTAAATTTCTTCAACATTATGTATATAACTTTGATAAAATGATAAATGTATATAAATACCAATAAAGTAAAAATCCTGTAAGACAAGCTTTGATAAAAAAACTGAAGGATTGTATAGCTGTTGCAGCCGCGATTGTGTGCAGCTACTGTTCTCCAGGAAATTTATCGAGTGCTGGAAGAACAATATAGCGATCTCTATCACGTCGTGTATATTCTCGTGGAGCGTAATGCACGATGCGTTGCACGTTTCAGCGTGTGCATTATTGCAAATAAACTTTGTCATGATTGCGAGCGCCGACAGCGCAGGAAGCAGTCCATTTCGCGCGAGTCTCGTCTAGGGCAGAGCGCATGTAAATTACGGGAAGGAAGGGACGGCATAATAACACCTACGCGCGGATATGTGTAATATGTAGTCCACGATGGACGCAGAAAGCAGATCGGAAAAGACAAAAGCTGCATCACCCTTAACCGACGTCATCACCACGCCTTCCGGGAAATAATTTCAAGGTATAACGAGTAGGTAAAACGATCGGTCGTTCATCAGCAAAATAAGAGATTGCGCTAATTTATTGCTCAGGATAGAATTTTGTTGAAAAATTAAAATGTCTTATTGCAATATTGTTTATTGTTAGTGAGAATCTTTTAATGAGAACGGGATATTTTTCGAATTGTATTAATTAAATAAGATTTCTTTACTATATACATGCGCGCAGACTAAGCGGAAGCCATTCAACTGGTCCACATTCCGCGTTTCGGGTCATTGTACGTTTATCGTTTCGATGTGTGTGATCTTCGGATCTTTGTCACATCGAATACTTTTGAATCTTTAATCACGTTTCAATCGAATGCACAGATGAATTAAATGACGCAGGATCAGGAATGTTTAGAATAATATTTACCAAATCCATTTCTCGAATAAGAGAATGCTCTGCTGTATATTTCATTATTATTTCTATTTTATTGATAATTTCAAGAAAATAAATAATTAACAGATTCCAATGAATTTATATTTGAAGATGCGGAGGAATAATCACGAATTCTCGAAATCCACGTGTACACCCTACCGCAAGATGACATAAGGAATCAACCCTTAAAAGCCCGGTCGTCGCGGCAACAACCCTAGATTTCGATTTTTTCTCGCTCGCGTGTACTCGACAGGAGCGCCTCCGTCGTTCGCCGGAGTAATATCGCGAATCGGAGTGGTTGAACGCCGTCTGGAGCGGGAAACGAAGAGGGAAAGAGGAAGAGTGAGAGGAAGACACGGGAGAGGGAATGAAATTTCCGTTCGTGGAAGCGAGAAAGGACGATCCGGCGCGCACGCAGGAGGGGCTGCTGGTGCTTGCTCTCGCAAAAGAGAGAGAGAGCGACACGACTGGGCAGATGGTGGAGCGCGAGGTGGAGACAGGACAGGCGCTTTCGTTCGCCTTTCGTTCGTTCGGGGTTTTGTGTACTCGCGAGCGAGCGAGCGGGCGCGCGCGCGCGACCGAGCGAGCGGGCCGCGAACGTTACTTTCGATTTCGTCGAGTTCGAGGGAGCCGCCGGCTCTCCAGGAGGCGAGCACGCGAGTAGTGGTGTCTCTACCTCGCGACAGAGTGTATATCGTTCGCGCGTCGTCCTACAATAGGTAGAGCCGCTGTCAAAACGAGTGTCGCGCGCGTGATACTGTATTGTTGACGCACAGGTGTCTACGATTTACGTCAGAGAAGATCGGCGACAGGTGGTGCACAGTGGGAATGGAGAGACGTCGGTTTTCACAGAAGGCTAACAGGATCCTTTCACGAATCGGGCGATCGGCACGAAATACGGCGCACGAGAGCATGTATACCTCGGATATCACCCGGAGAACGTAATCTTGCACTCTCTTTCTCTTTTTCTCTCTCTCTCTCTCTCGCGTCACCGCCTCCCTCTATCGAATCTTATATCGTGCGCGCGCGTGCTTTGACCGTATGCTCCGGCGTGTCATCGATTTTTCGGCGATATTGTGTTAGACCCGAGTCTCGCCGGTCGGAAATCGCGAACGGGATTATGAGGAGGATTAACGGTAGCGCGTGAAGAGAGGCTGGTACGCGCGCAAACGAGGCAGTTGGTCGTCGTCTCGTGTTCGCGAGAGACGAAGAAGAAGGCGGGAGAGAAAGCAATACGCGGAGAGAGAGAAGGCGAGAGCCATCGACGGCGCGCGTCCAACATGGCTACCGCCGGCAGCAGCAACGCCGGCAACGAGGCAGCAGCGGCGACCGGCAGCAGCAACGTGCCGCAATGGAAGCGGGACCTGATCCAACGTCGTCGTCAGCAGAGCAAGGTCCTCGCGAACAACGGCGCGAGTGTCAAGCTGTGCAGCGCGGTGATCGGCGACCAGAACATCGTCGTCGAGGAGCATTGCCGCGGCACGTTTCGCGCCTGCCAGCGCTTAATAACAACATCATCGGCAACGACGAGCGGCAGCGAGGACACCGCGACCGTCGCGGCTTGCGGCACCGGTGCTAGTGCCGACAATAGCGGCAGTGGCGCGCTGCTCTCGTCCCCCTCCAGCTGTCTCGCGCGAAGGCCGCCGCTGATTGGTGGCGCCACCAGCGGCGCCGGCGCGACGTCAGCGGTCGCCGACTTCGCGCCGTCAGTCGCGTACAACATGCGTCTCGAGGCGGACCTGTCGCTCTGCTCGGACGCGGAGGATGTTTTGAACGGCGCGCCGAACAAGTTCGCGGACGAGAGCAAGTTTTCCGAGTACGAGGAGGAAAGAGGTGCGCTCGCGAGGATGAGCGGCAACGAGATTCGCGCCGTCGTGACCGGGACAGGACGCGGGAAGGACATTCTCGGGGGAAATCGTACGAGCGGTCGGCGTCGACCCGCGTCGACGACCGGCGAGGACGCGGAGAGCGACAGCTCCGAGGAGCTTCAGTACGGGCCCGGGATCGTCAACAAGTTGAAGAGTAAGTATCTTAACCTAACTCTGCGCGAGACGAACAAGAGTCGCGCGTCCGTGCAGCGGTTTCGACGGGCGGCCAGTCTCGAGGATCTTCTGGACCGCGAGGACGACGACGCCGCGTCGTCCTCGTCGACGTCGGCTCAGCATCCGGAGAAGCAGATCGCGATCGGACATCGGAAATACGCGAAGCGGAACAGCGGAGGCGGCGTCGTCGCCTCCAAGACCGAGAGGTACCGAAATGCCACGCGGGGCAACGACTCGATGAAGCGGGCGCGCAGCGTCGAGACCTTGATGAGGTACAACAGCGTGACGACGGAGGAGTCCGGTTACGCGCCAGCTTGTTGTTCCGGTCGCTGCGCGACCGGCGACGAACGGCGTGCGTCAGGAGCCGGTCAACGACCACATTATTCTGGTGGATCGCACGTCCGTGAAGATCGAGAGTCGCCTGGGCGAGCTCGAACGCCCGAAACCGATCAACAAACCCAAGAGGATCAAGCCGGTGCTGGCGGAAACGGAACGGCCGCCGCCCGATCTAGTCAAGACCACGATGAGGATCTTCGAAGGCTCCGCGAAGAAGGTGAGACCGAAGGGCGAGGTCGCCGCGAAGGTCGCGACCTTCAAGACCATCAACGACACGTTCAAGGCGCAGAAGAAGCTGTTGCCGAAACCCCCGTTGCAGCCGAAACCTTTTATCAACGGCGGTGCTCGTCCGGGTGGTCTCGGTTCTCCGAAGAAGATCGTGTTGCCCCATAAACCGACGGCGGAGCTGATCGAGACGCAGACCGGCAAGGAGGAGTATCACATGGATGGCGTCATCACGGAACCGATCGCGCAATCGGTGTTCTCGGTGGTGAGCAAGTTCCAGCAGATCGAGAAGTCGCATTCACCCTCGCCGTCCCCGGAACCCTCGTCTTACAAGCTCAAATTCTCGCCGGCGAACAGTCCGGAGCCGCCGCCGCAGATGTGTAAGCTGTCCAAGTCTACGGCTACTCTGGAGATCGCTATTAAATCACCACCGGCTACGCCGGTGCACTCGCCTAGGATCTCGTCGCCTAGATTGCAGAGCCCGCCCTCGCCGTCGATCAGAGATCAAGCTCGGCAGGGCTCGCAGAGTCCGTCCTCTCCCGTCAAAGATTCGATTCGGGTTCAGATCCCGAATCCGTTCCACAAACCGCCACTGCCGAGTCCCGTCAGGGAATCCACCAAGACCCCGGAGCCGGAATCGTTCAAAGTTCCTCGTCCGCAGATCGAGAAGGAGCCCTCGCGGACGAATGTCGAGAGTCCGGAACCGAGTCGAGTAGCGTCGTCCAACGATGCCGAGGAAGAGGAGATCGTCGACGGGCCGAGGACCATCTCCAAGCACGCCCTGGACAACATCGGTAAAGCCGGCATAACGATGCAGTTCAACTTTGGGGACAAATCCGCGATGGACAAGCCTTATCTACCCGGTGCGAAGCAAAACGGGCAGAGATCGGTGGATGAGCGAGTACTCGAAGACGATCCTTGCTCGAAAGCGGAATCCAGGAGCAAGATCGTTTCTTCGGACGCGTCCGCCGGCGTCCTGACCTCGGAGACGACCCACAGATTGCAGGAGAGACTACTCGAGCAGGACGATAACAAGGAGGAGATCGAGGAGAAACAGCTGATCGTGCCGGAGAGCAAACCCATCGGCGCCATCTGCAGTCTGGGTCTGATCAAGACGTATCCGCAGAGCAACAACGAGGCGAAGACGTTAAGGTGCCAGCAGAAGAGCGAGTTCTCGCCGCCCCAGAAGCAGATCGGCATCATCCGGCCGCTGGTCTCCACCCAGAAGACTCTGCAGCATCCGCAGCAGAGTCTGAGCAACCGCGAGCTCGAGAAGAACCTGATCAATCGAGTCAAGAGCATCGAGCAGCCGACCAAGGTGGTGGTCAGCCTGAAGAGCGCCGACGAGATACAGCCGACGAAGAAGACGAGTGCAGGAGGCGGAGGCGGCCTCTGGGACACGAAACCATGGAACCAGCAAAACAACACGATGGTGTTCAACTTCAGTAACCGAAAGGACGTGCCGGATTACATCGAGAACGACGGCCTCATCATCAATAAGAGGAAGCGAGACAAGCCGAAGGTGAGTCATTATTATTATTGTTGTATTTCTTACAAAAATATAAGGAATGCGTCAGGTATTCGCTTCGGTTCCATTTATCGCGATTGCGATAGCCGATACATTTTCAGCTAGGAGGAGGCTTGAGACTTCTTTTCCTAGTACAAAGGTGCGCGTAATATCTCCGGTTTCCAAGTATGCGTGTCAGTTGGATAAGATAACGTTTCATACATAAATATGCGAAATAACGTTTACTTAATTAACCGATTTTAGCGAATAAGAAATCAGGCTTATTTAGATTTCCGATTTTTTCTCGATATATAAATAATTCATTTTTACTGACAATAAGTTAATATACGTAAAATAAATATCTCATTCATTGAGAGGCTAACTATATGCAAATATATAATAGACTGCATTTATACAAATGATTATATTATACTTTTCACATATACATACTTTCTCTGTAAACATTTATTTCTTACAAGTACATAAAAATTACATATATTACAAATAACAACCGTAATTAACTGCAGTAATTAAAGAACAGGTATTTAAAATATTTTTTTTTACGATCTTACTATGCAAATCGAGTAATCTGCATAGAAAAATTATTACATCATGCAATCCATTAATTTAAAGCGATATTCCATGATAAAATTTATTTACAGAAAAATGTAATTTCGTTACTTTGATACATAATACCTCAATTACATTAAATCTTAAAAATTGATTTTTAAATATTACACATTTATGACGTGGAATTTTATTCATTTATTATATTATTATGATTGCAAATGCAGCGATAATACTTTATTAGGGAAATATCTCGCATGGAACAGATTTTTCTTTGAATCAAATGAGATAGCAAAAACTGGTAGCGCGAATATATATATAATTTTATTACCAGTACCGCTTAATAAGGTACTTATAGGTTTTTCCTACCCACTTAACGTTTTTTATCCTATGAGAGAGCTATGATATTTATTAAATCAAATTCGTTAAATCGCTTGTTGAGGAAGATGCACAATGGTCGATACAGTTCGATAGAAATCTAGTACCGGCGACTTTCTTTTCACACGTGTAAGATAGTTTAGCTACTTCACTTTCTTTAATAGAAACATTGCTCGCGACAAAGACGGATGTTGTTTGCACCTATGCAACGTCAACTGTTGAATTTCAATTGATTTTAAATATTCCAAACACACGCGCTTTAAATATGTACAGAGTGTCTCGTATGTCTCCTTTTTATCTACAATCTACGAAGTCTGATCGATTTGATTTCAAATATTTTTCCAACAAGTCAGTTGTCAATAACTTTGAAATCATATATAAGCACGAGGAATTTTTATTTCTGAGAATTTTTATAAATTAAAAAAAGAGAAATATATTTTTAAATTTTAATTAAAAAGAATTTTAATTCGTAGATGATAAATTGACGAAAATTTTGAATGAAATGAAATACTCGTCGAAAAGTGGTCCTGAAGTTCATGGAAAAAATTCACGGCTGAAAGGGAACGCGGGAAAATCGCGTGACATCCTGTATACTCCGTGACTTATTCGGCCTCGATTTTGCGTTGCGAGCTGCGAGAATCCTTGTTAAGCAATATACAACACGTGTGTAACGGTGTCGTCGCGTGCCCTAAACCTAGCTGAACACTATTGTTCGCGTTTAGACAATTGCGCTTAGAATGAATTAATTATCGCTCTCAGGAATATCTCGAGATACGCGTCGACTTAGCAGCTTCCAGTCTTTGACGACATACACTGAATTTATCGCAATGACAAAAATGATCTCATTATGCATACATATAATAACACTAATACTTACTCTCAAATTTGGAGAAAGTATCAACAAGAGTTGGTACACTGGAAAAAAATATGTTAATTTGACTAAACCTTTCAACTAAATTACCATTTTGTCCAATTGAACATGTATTAGTATTTAAATCAAATACATATTTTATTAGATTTAATATATGTTATATTTAATTTAAATATTTTTATATGTTTAATTAACAAAATAATATTTAATTGAAAGATTCAGTCAAGTTAATACATTTTTTTACAGTGTCAAACGAAATCTTTTATATAGTATAACTATATTACTATATTATAGCGTAGCTCAGGAGTACAATAGCTAGATAATACATAGACAATCAATTTAATTTTTGTTAATATTTGCTCATATAATACTTATAGTAAAATTTTTTTTAAATATAAAAATTTATAAAACTGCTGAAATCTTGGAAATATAATATTTCATTATTAATATAGTTTATATAATTTCTCTTTCAACTAATTTTGCATTTTAATTATTACATTGTAAATTAGACTATCACTATCATATATTTAAATGAGATAATCATATCACATACTTATCGTAAAATTTTTTATATTCTTCGTGACCATATATATTATTTTAATTTTATATAAAATCGACAAAATATCGACACGCAATAAAGAGCACTTGAAATACGTAAAGAAAATATCGAATAAGATCAGATCGTTCGATCAGATATTATTGAGCATCGATCGATTTTCGATATGAAATCGTCATCGCGCGGACTGTGCAAAGTATATAAAATCGAAATCGTCTTCCGAAATCGTTTCGAAGGCGCTTTCTAAAATGTTGGATGTAAAAATGTCTCGCTCGAACGCTCGTTTCCCGGCTTCTCGTAAAACGCATCATCGCGCCTTGGCGATGAACCGAAGTGAAACCGAAGAAGGCGTCCGACATTCAGCGGAAAATGAGAGAAATTAAGCACACGATCGTCGCGAGCGATTTACTTACCGAGGATCGTTACTTTCCCGTATATTAGATAATCCGGAAGTGCGCGAGAGCGCGAGTATAGCGATTATTATTCTTGACGATATAATCAAAGATTCTAACGTTCAATCTGCATCTTTTTAATGCACGTTTAGAACGAGGCTGTTACACGTTTAATAGTCGCGTCTCACGCAAACGCTTAATACATCGCGATATGGTGATTAGTAATTCGTGTCTGCTTTTCACCGGGAAATTATTTATCAATTATCGCATGAGTATAATATCAAAAAAAATTTATTTTTTATTTTCAAGAATAATGAATAATGATGTATCTCGCAGAATACAAAGTCAATTTAAACCTTTGTTCCCAGATAGATTGTTTTCGCAGAATAATGATCAATCAATTTTGACATTAATTTCATGATAAAGTCTTATGATATTAATCATTCTTCGTTTTGTCTTTATTTAAAAAATACGCTTTTTATCGGCACTTCACGTATTATCATATTAAATATCATAATGGATCACTGTGAAATCTCTCGAAGTGTTTCAAAATCTTTGAGTACGTTGTTGTCTGCTGTTTTATTCCATTTTTTAACAGATTATTTAAAAAAGTTTTTGGATTTTATTCGAAATTCAGATATGCTCTGATTGTAAAGCCAAATAATTGCGTAAGATAAATATAGTAATATATTTACTAGTGCTTTAATAAAATTTAGTACGATATTGTGCAATGTACTAGAATAGAGCCAATGGTCTTTTTATTTTATTATTATGTACAAGCTTTGGAGTAATTAATTTTAAATTGCTTATGCCCTTTTATAATCATGAAAATATTTATGACATGGATACTTTGTATAATAATATAATATAAGAAATGTTTTATCATAAAATTAATTATCTTAAATAATTTTAATTCAATATGATATCTAAGCATTAATCAACTATAATCTTTGTGCGTGTGCTGGATTTGTATATTAAAATGTAGTAAACACGAGATGGCAATATATGAGAACATAGTAAAAGCATTTTCTAACATCTCGACGACAACAAACATGATTGCGGTAAATTAGAATCGTGATTAGTGTCTCCCGAGATGTACAATTCAGGTTATTTAATATTCATTTATGAAATGATACATTCCTGCCTCATCTAATGGGCGCGCGCTACTGAATAATATTACGGACAAAGGAATACAAAGCACGTTTACAGCCGCGAGGGCTTTCTTGCACAATTTTCATTTTCATGCGCGTGCACAATTTTCATATTTTATTTGCAAAATTGCTTCTGCTCCATCTAATCGACGTAACGGTGCATCCGCGAATGCTGAGGAAGAATAAATATCCTTGCTCGACTCGTGGGCTCTAAAAGTAATCGCTTAACGAACTAGAAACTGGAATACACACATGCATTAGGGTGGCGTAATCTTTGTTAACTTGCACAAAGGTTCGCGGGAAATCGCGAGAAATGCGCGTTGTTTATTCGCAAGTTGTTTATTCAAATAAAAAGAAGAGGTTTATAAACTTTTAAAACAACCGATAAGATATTCGGAGTTTATCAGATACAATATAAAATACGACTTGTTGTGTGTATCTAAACTATGGCTTATCATTTTTCATATTAACATTTCACGATATTTTCGAGGACCGCATTTGTCGTTTCTATGATGTAATATAGATTATGCAATGATCTTGCCACGTGCAACGTAGAAAATCTTTTTCAATCGAGTGTTTACCTAAGGAGTTCGATAAGCGAGAAAATAAGTCTGTGATCGACTCTAAAGCTCGCATGAATAAAAATAAGCTTGAACATTCTAAAAACAATCTTGTTGATAAAGTTAGATCTTATAATAAAAGACTGTATATATTTAAATCTTTTATTATACATAATTCTTACGATCGTGGGTGGTTTTTTTATATGTATGTATTATATATAACTTTTACATATAATGAGTTAATTTTTTTGTTAATAATCCAAATATACAAGATATTTCGAGTTAGCGCCGAGTTTACGTTAAATGACGTTACGAGTTTGTTAAATGTACGGGGACGTATATATAAATTTTTTGCCGCTATTAAGATTTAATCAGATATGATCGCCGATATCCGTAGAGGGATGTAATTATGTAGCTTCCACGACATCGTTAGTCGTAACAAACCCGGTTTTACGAGATCGTGAGAATGTGTATCGGTATATACCATATGTGTGTATGTGCGAAGCGCTTGTGGTTCGTAAACAGCACGAAGCAAAATTT